CTTGCTGAAAGATTCTTCTTTCACTGGAAATATATTTTAGAATTTTATAGGCAGTATAATAAGGGCCGTAAATTTTACATTAGTTACAAAAAATCAAAAACTAAAGTTGTTGATATGTTCACAAATCACAAGATCTCGAGCACCATAGTTGTTGGTTAGTAGTTTCAACGGTACAACCAAACATGTGACTAGTGAATAGATAATGAGTTGTAGATCAAAATGAAATCCTAAAAATTAATCATATGAATAATTGGTGAAGTAAAAATCCCCACGTAGTAATGTTTTGAAACTCGGACCGTTGATTGAACTGATGGAGTGTTTAGGTCGAGATTCAATCGATCGGACCGGTTTAATCATGGTTCAATAAATTTTTTTAAAAATAATTTATGTAAATATATATGCACAAAATAAGAATGCATTGGACTAATTTAAGACTTTATATGATGAAGCGTTTAATATTTTCAAAGAACTTGGATTTTCAGAAATAAATTTTTAAAATTATAAGTTGAAACAAATAAATTTTATCTCAATTTTGATTGAATTTACCAAAAAAATAATCTTATATCCAACCCAAAAATACCACAATATTCTAAAATCATACAAAATTCACGTATATGGGAATTAGATATTGTGAGTTTAAATTTTAATTCACATTTTTTATATTTAAAGACTGCAACTTAAAAAAAAAAAGATTGGAGTTTGAAGAAAGTCAGGAAAATAGAACATATAGATACAAACTTGATAAGAGGTAAAAAATGAAAAGAAAGTGAGTGAATATGACATTTAATAATTAGTCTTTAATGTTAAGGAAAACCTATTCTTTTTTTAATTTTTTTTTCAATTTAATAGACAAAAACAAAAACAAAAAACTACCGGTTCAACGGTTCAATCCGATTTTTAAGTCTAGTTAACCCAAAGTATGAACCGAATCGAAGCTATGACCAGTTCCCGGTCTGATCCGATTTTCAAAACATTGTTAGATACCAATCAAGTAAGCAATTAAAAAAAGGGAATAATTTTTATACAGTATCAGCGTAAAAAATTTTTTACACAAAGTTTAGACAAATGTTATATCATCACTATTCAAAATTTAAATTCACTTTTTATTCATATATCATGTATCTATACCTTTCAACGTAAAAAAATCTATACGCGTTGATGTATATAATATTAATTCTTATAAATAAAAAAAAAGCCACGCAAGGATATTGGATTCGAAATCAACCGCAACAATTATGGACAGTTGGTTCCTTGGGTAGGGCATAGCGGCTTTAATGTCATGAAGATTTGTGGTTGCTGATATCTTGGCATAAAATACGTGTTGCTTTACTAATCGATGCTTGTCCCACGATAACACCAAGCTAGTTTATAGCTTGTGAAGTCGTTAACTGGAACGTGTTTTTCAGCTATGCACATTTGTTCTTTGTGGACCGCCATCATGGTGCCACGTTCTTATGGCAATAAAGAAAACAGGGATTGGAAGGGCAGGAACCTCTTCATTTCTTGGTTCTGAGATTGGACGGGCAGGAACCTCTTCATTCATTTTGGCTTTCTTGATGTTGTAGTTTGTTAGGTCATTGTAAAGCAATCTTTCTACAATATGTTACACATCATGCACTCATTAGCCTCATATCGTGGTTGATATTTTCGATCCATTTTTCATCCGAATCAACTTAGAATGTTTTACCCTGATAGACAATGTGAATAAGGCAGTTGGGGTCCTTGACTAATTTCTTGCACAATGGAATTAGACCCTTTCTAGCTCTAACTTTTGTGATAGTCCGATTCCAGACAACATTTTTGTCACAGGATAGTGATTTTAGATTTGCTTGAACGACTTGATCATTTACCATAAAGCAACTAGGTTCAAAGGTTCAAATTAAGACATGCCTGTGTCCACAGGTGTCAAATTTTTCATGCATTCACATCTAACATTTGCATGATTACAATCACATATTGTTGATCAATGATCAGCACGATAGAGCAGTAGATGCAGTAGCTCTCAACACTTGGAAATCACATTATAATAGTCTTTAGTGATTTTTATCTTTGCCTATGCTTATCTTGGAAATTTGCTCAGTAATTTATGCACTATATATATATATATATATATATATATATATATATATATATAGGTGTAACTATAAGAATTTTTTTGGAGTAAATGAAATAGTATAAGGAAGTTCAAACTCAAAAACTTGTACAAAATAGTACCTGAGGTCTTTATCAATGTATTTCACACAAAGTTCGTCAAACAATCTTTGGAACTTACTCTTAAAAAGAGGAAAAAAACATATGTACAGATTTGAAATTTAATTTTTTTTTGGGTGCTAAATTGGAATTTAATTAAGTTAGCTTTTATGTTGCTCAAATTTTCCAGGATGAGGTGCAGGAACATTCTGTTAGACTGTCTTGATCAACCTGACATGATCAAGGATGTTGGACAAATCTCTGAAGTTTTGGGTCATGACAGTTCTAAATGGGCTGGATTTTGGACCATTGCACCAATCGTTGGTTACATTTCAAGGACAGAAAAAAAATTTTTTTTTTCGAGTTAACAACAGAGAATTACATTACATGTCGCAAAAACCATCAAAATTATTTCTCTAGCAGGATGAACTGTTTTTTTTTTTTTTTTTATGGGAATTTTACACGTGCATGGAGCCATGAAAAAGTCGGGATTTCTAAATTTGTTTGTCGTATCTTCAATTGAGAAAATCCTTTCGATTAACAAATTTACTGAGTCACCTGGGGTGCCAGCAAAATCAGGAGCAAATCACGAAGACAGATTAACATCACTTTTATTTTTCTTTTAATATTTGGACCAAAAACCAAACATAATATAATTTCTTGTAAAAGTATAAAACTGAACGTAAACTAGGAAGAAACTTGAAGGAACTCCCATCATTAATGTTCAAAACCGATGGTGGTGGCCTTTTCTTCTTCTTTCTTGGCATTTTTCTTCTCATGATGCTCATGGAATCCTAAACCACCAGCTCCAACTGAAGCTGCTGCCCCAAATCCCTTCTTCTAACTTGTGCTGCCTGAGGGCATGCTGTGGATCCTTCTTGGCCTCGTGCTTCTCATTCATACCATAGATCAGCTAACAAAATCCAGAAGTTCTTTTTCTTTAGACCATCATGTCTGCAAGTTTTAAGTATATATAGTGCTTGGGCATAGTTTGATCAATATTTGCTACTAGTTTTCGAGCAATTGATGTCTTAGAAACAGCGGATGATCCAACAAATTTTAGCCACTTGCACATATAGCCCGTTTAACCAAATCACACATTTGCCCTAATTAAAAGCAAGACTTAATTTTGAATGGGTTTTACAGGAATTAGATTTTGCACATTCTCCAAAATTTAATGTCACTCCTAAAAAAGAGTACATAAATGAACGTCTACATTGTCAAGTCTCACTATATATGTGAGTTTCTTCTCCCACTTCATGTGGATTAGTTAGCAGGCAGTGATATTGAGTTATAATTTCCATCATTTAGCTCTCACTATTGTAGGTTTTTTGTAATCTTATAAAAAGGAAATAATTAATGTTCACTATAGTCTAAACTACTATGAATCTATAACGTCTAACAAAACTTGTACCAAAATTGAATGCACAACATTCCCCTTTGTGAATGCAATAGGATATTCTCACTTTGAAGGCCTTGTTTTGAATGTGCTCTTTTTGCCTAGTTGATGGAGATAATAATCATTTAAGTAATAGAATTAGCGCTTATGCGTTGAATATCATTCAAGATGAGGAATTTGTGATTCCTTAGTGCCATTGTGCACTGGTTGTATTTAGTTATCGAGCCTTTGCTTGATTTTGTAAAGATTATTTCATGATATAAAATCACTTATCGTTTCGGAAAAAAAAAAAAAGAATGCAATAGCTTTTTTCTTTTTTTTTCCTTTTTTTTGGTGGTTTAAGCACACCTACAAAGTTTATAGAGGTGATCATATGACAAGGACATTGCTATTTATGGGTGATCATTTACCAATCAGTTAACTAGAATATATCTTCATCATGGGAGATGGAAAGGGCAGGAGGAATGGCCATTCCACAACGTTCTGCATGGTTAATAAGCTTTTGTGCAATGAAAGAAGAAAAGAAAAGTAATACACAAGTTGCACTTAGATTTGTGTTTGAATAAAATGTGTATGACTGAAATCTTAAATGTGTAATTTGGCGAGATTTGGTTCTTAGGTGCTTTTTCAACTTTCAAGCAAATCTCTCGATACGGCTCTTGACAAAATAATGGGCAAAAGTGCGAGGCCTGTAACTGGGGTTGTTCAATGTTTAAGCTGTATGTCACCTAAGAAAATTGTGTAGATTGTTCTATATTATGAGCAATTATACATTGATGATATTCACAAGAAACAAGCTAAATTCACACTCCCAACCGTCTAAATTCATACCCTTAATGCATTAATAACTCGTACTATGTGCATTGATAATTTGTACCATTTGTATTAAAGTTGTACTACGTGCGAATTTAAGACGGAAGACGATGAATTTAGCCTGCCCTTAAAAAATTTTTACATGGATACGAAGAATGAAAAAGGGAAAAAAAAGAAAAATATTATTTGTACTCCATTTTCTGTTAATCATACTCCCGTCATTTATTTTTATCATATAGTCTAATAAATAAAAACCATCTGATAAAAATATTAGTGGAAGTGTGATTAACAAAAATGAAAGTGTAAATAACATTTCCTAGTAATAAAATAAATGAAAGAAACCTATAAAGAATGCGTTGCAAACTTTGTTGTTGCATTTGGATGTCATTGAATAATTCGTGTCCAAATTAGACTGAGTTGAGCGGGCACAAATATAGCTTGCATTATGAAAATAAAAATACTAAAAAAAATTGAAATGAATAGTTCAAATTTGGCCGAGCTGAGCTGGCTTCTTACTTTTGATTTGGCAGGAATTCAACTTTAGGATGGATCATTTCCCATTGTTGTGCTCCGATCCGCGTCAGGCAAGGCAATGATCTACCCAAGGATTTAACTTATGAATAACTTTTTCATATGCTGTTGGTGTATATATACATTTTTTAAACTAGTAAATTTAGATCATGTCATATAACATGAATCTAAATTTAAAATTCTGATTATGCATATGTAGCACACATCCAAAGTTGCGAGTGTAAAAAAAATCACCACGCCCAAAAGTTTCCCTCTGTCTTTTGATTTCCATCAAGAACCAAGAACCTCATTCTGTGGCAGCATGACAAACTTCATCTGAAGTCATCAACGATTATAAAACTCCTTTGTAAGTAACTCTGACTTCAGCTAATGACCACAGTATGTCCTCACTTGCCATTGATCAGATGAGACTCAATCTTCTCTGTCCAATGCTGAAAGAAGAAGTTTGATCTTTTTCAATTCCTCGAGAACATCTCCCATTGTACTTCTGTCTCTTGGCGAATCTCTTGAGCATTTCATTGCCACTTCCATTATAGCTGATATGCAATTTAGCTCCTGGCTAAAGCTGCTTTTATCAGGCCTAATCAAGTTGGCATCTATAACCTGAACTATGGCATTTGGCAAAGAATCAAGTATCCAACTCTTCAAGCTCAAATTTTCACCAAACATCTCATCATTCGGCTTTTTTCTGGTGAATACTTCCATCAATACAATTCCATAACTGTAAACATCACATCTCGTCGAAACCAGTCCTTCAGATCCATACTCTACAGCAATAAGCATGCAAAAAGATCAGTGATGAAGGTTACTATAACAAACTGCGTATGAGTTATGACATGGTTGTGTTCGTGCATATACTGTATAGAGTTACCTGGTGCAACATATCCGCATGTAGCCAGTGTTTGAGTGTATGTAAAGCTGCTTTCTTGGCTCAACAATTTAGAGATACCAAAATCACAAAGATGTGCAACCATATCTTGACTGAGCAAGATATTACTAGGCTTCAGATCACAATGGACCATTGGTGTTGAATGACCATGGTGAAGATAGTGCAGTGCATATGCGACATCAATCATGATAGTCAATCTCTGCGTAGCATCTAAGAAATGATTCTGGGAATACAACCAGTTCTCAAGGCTACCATTAGGCATGTATTCAAGCACTATGGCCTTAAAATCAGCATTAGAGCAACAAGTTATAACTTTAGTTAGATTGCGATGGCGAAAATTGCTCAACATCTCACATTCTGCATCGAAGCTCTCAAATGCCATTTCTAGTTCCAAATTAAATACTTTGATAGCCAGAACTATCCCATCACGAAAAGTACCTTTGTAAACAGATCCAAAGCTCCCCAAGCCAAGTAAATTTCTATTATTCCAACCATCAGTTGCTTGAAAAAGTTCATTGTATGAAAATCTTGGTTTGGACATCAATGACGAGAAATTTCTTCGACTCGAGACGATATCTTTCTTTCGGTATCTGAAGAAAAGGAATCCAAAGGCCATGGCACTTAGTACAGTTGCAGTTCCTAACACAACAAAAATGATCCGTATATTCCTCTTGTGCTTCAATCTATGCTCAGCAACAGTTTCGCATGATTTGACATGAAAACGAGATGCTCCACACAATGCTGCATTGGATATGAAGGATTCAGGATTGAAGTTTTGGAAAGGACCATCAGATGGAATTTCACCTCTTAAATCATTAAAAGAAACATTGAAGTACTTGAGAAATTTAAGAGCCTCCAATGACTTGGGAATTGAACCAGAAAGGTTGTTATGCGACAGGTCCAAAAATTCAAGGCTTAACAAGTAACTAAGTGACTCAGGAATTGAGCCTTGAATGGCATTACGTGCCAAAGAAAGGCGAATCACATTTTCCAGCGCCCCAATTGTACTAGGTATGCTGTCCGAGAAACGATTCACAGACAAGTCTAACAACATTACAACCTCTAGCTTTCCAATTTCTGGAGGAAGAGATCCAATTAAGACATTTGATGTTAGGTTAAGTTTCAAGAGATCCTTGAGATTCCACAAGCTTCTAGGAAGACTAGAGGCTAATCTGTTGAATCCAAGATGGAGATTCCTTAGAGATGTGAGATTACCTATACATTCTGGGATGGTACCTGAAATTTGATTATGGCTTACATCCACGGTACTCAAACTTGGTAAATTACAAAGATTGGTAGGAATGGTTCCTTCGATGTTGTTGTCGTAAAGTAATAGACCTTGAAGCTTTTGCAAACCTTTGAGTGTACTAGGGATGGAACCAGTCAAGGCATTGTCAAATATGCTCAATACTATCAAGTTGCTTAAGTTGCCAATGCTCTCTGGAATGCTACCTCTGATCCTACAGCTACGTGCATATATCTTTTCAAGAGAATTAGAAAGATTTCCAATGGTGACAGGGAGCATGCCATTGAGAGGATTACCTGCCAATGCAAGTCTTGTTAAAGATTTGCAATATGTGAGAGAAGTGATGAGGCTCAACTCTGGAGATTCAGATTGATCACTCGTCAGATCATTCTCAGATAAATCCAGGACTTCAAGAAGTCTTAAATCTCCAATGGAATTGGGAACTTTGCCAGTGAATTTGTTCTGACCAAGGGATAATCTGGCCAGTTTTGAACAGTTTGAGATAGACCTGGGTATAACTCCACTCAAGTTATTCCCACCAATTACAAATTCTTCCAAGTTGTGTAGAGCATAACCAAAGTTTGGTGGAAGATTGCCAATAATATGATTTCTTACAAGTGAGAAAATCTGCAGGGCCGAAATATTAAATATCCCAATTGGAATCGAACCAGTTAAGCTGTTGAATTGAAGGCAAAGATTCTCCAATTTGATCAAGTTGCCGATTTCCTGTGGAATCGAACCTGCCAATCCAAAATGAGTACCATCCATACAACTACAATTAAGCTCGCACAAATGAAGCCTCATTATGTGGTACAGTTCTTCTGAATAAACCTTGAGACTAAAAGTTACTAATATGGTCCAATGATTAAGGTCTTTGTTTTATCGTATTAGAATTAGAATGTTCAGCACTAATTCTAATATGATAAAATATAGATCATATTATCATCACCAAAAGAATCAACTTATAGTAAGTAATACACAACGGTTCTATTATCCCGGCAACTACGCTTCTAAGCCTATTATCTACCAGACTGGACAACTAAAAAGGTCAAAAAAGAGATTGATGCAAATGAATGTTCATGGAGGTAAAGTAAGTGATAATTCTGCATCTTTGAAGGGTGAGTAACGTACCTGTCAGGTGGTTGCTGCATAAGACTAAGCTTTTGAGCATGGTTAAATTACAAATCTCTTTTGGTATTCCTCCTGCAAAACCGTTAATTACATCACCTTTTCTGAGGTTAACAAAGTTTCATGCATGTAGAAGCTAAGTAAGCTTTGGGTTGAAATCAGATACTTGTACCTATTTTGATTTTCATTTGCTTAGGCATAGTTACTCCCGAGGAGAACCTACAGAGGCCTACCCAAGTCTTTAATTTCAATGACAAGTGCATAGGATAGATACTTCCCCCGGTCTTTAATCAAACTTTACATAGTCATTTCTTGATTGTGACAAACTGCATAACGAATAGATGGATTGACAGTACCTTCCAAGTTGTTGTAGGGCATTCTCAGGTGCTCAAGCTTGTAGAGATTCCCAATTTGTTTTGGTATAACTCCACTAAACTGGTTCTTGGATAAAAGCAGGGATTGGAGCTTATCCAAAAAACCGAACCATGATGGTACCTCTCCAACAAAGTTGTTGAATCTCAGATCAATGTACCTCAATCGACGCAAATTAACCATCCTTTCTGGTGGCACGCCATGAAAGTTATTATTTCTCATGTCAAGAGAAACAAGAAACGAGAGGTTTCCTATGTCTGCAGGAATGGTGCCCGCCAGACCCATGTTCGAAATATTAACCTGAGTAACTCTGCCCGGATGGCGAGGGCTGCAAGTGACTCCAATCCACTCGCAGACGGAGACTGCAGTGGACCAATTGTTTCCCAAGATTGAACCTCCAGGATCAGAAGTTATATGCTGTTTCAAGCTAAGAAGGGCTAACTGATCAGTGGTGAAGTTGGTTGTGGACATGGCCAAAGTAGATACTACCAGACAAGTAGACAATACAAGTTCAATGCATAACTTCTTGTAGTTGTCCATATTCCTAACCATGCCGAGAATACTAAAGATATTTGAGAAATTTTAGTTTCAAGACAGTGTAGTTAACTTCTTGGTGTTCCCCATGAGCATATTTGACACTCCACCATCTTGCGTCCTTCGACCACCAACCCCACCACCTCCGGCGGGCGCCTTACCTCTTTTACTTTTCATGCTGTATACAAACGTTTAATAGTTACCAGCATTTCCACGGTTTTCTTTTTTAAATAAATAAATCGTCCTTATTAATAAAATAAATCCAACATGAGTTGGGGATCAGTACCATCACACGCGTGTTCCGTTACTCCTTTGTTTTTATCATAGGGATAATTTCTTAAACCTCTCCAGAGATTTCCAACTATTTTACTAACCTCCCTTAAGATTTGTAAAATTGCACAAACCTCCCTTGAGGTTAAGTATTTGGTAATGAAATAAGTCCAAAGCATAAAAAGTACACTTAAAAAAGCGTTTTGAGGAGAAAGCTGAAAAATTATTTCCACAAATGCCCCTTTTGTAGCTATATAAGTTGTATCAAAACGAATAAAAGTTAGAAATAATTATTATCAATATAATAGATGATAACTTTTGTCATGCTTCAACTACTATGTCATCTTTCCAATATTAGACTGAGATAAGGAGAGATCCATTACTGTATTGCTGTAATAATTACGATTTACAATAGAAATAATTTCAAATTTTGCCTTTATACTCTCTCCTTTCTCCTTTAAAACTACAAAATTACTTTGCTACTATCACAGCATCATGAGTTTCAATAGAAATTTCTCTCATGTTCAACCTTCATTTTCTCCATCTTTCTTCTTAGTTTTCTTTCTTCTACGAGATGCCTTCTTCTCATATTCTATAAAACCGATTTGTTGTCCTTATTATTGATGTTAATAAAAAAAAATGGCGCCATATTAGTATATCAATTGGCCCCATTTGTGTATTTGCAATTATAGTTTCTTATTAAGGACCATATTTATGTTCATTAATCAATTGGAATTAATTAATTTGAGCCCTAATTATTCATTTATTAGATATTAATCTTCTAATAATGCATAATATCTTTAGGCATAGTAGTAATTTTACGCCATGTGATGTAAGTAATCGAGCCCAAATTTTTGTCAGGAAAGGCCAATGTAATATTGCAAACCTCAATGAAACAGTCAGAAACCTCAGGGGAAGTTTCTGAAATTATCCCCTTTTCATATTGTGAGTAAAACGTTTAGTTGATGGGTACAAAATGTGATTACCCATAGTTCAGGGAGCTAGGCAGGGTATGATTACCCTAAACTTTTGTACTTGATTTCAAAACCTTAAAATGATTCAGTTATGATTATGAAGTCTGAACTCTAATTCACGCTGTCCATTTTTGCAACTATGCTTCACAATTACAATCACATCCAAGAGCAAATTAATTGTAATATTTGGCTTCTAGTAATAAACATCAAAAATCAAAAGAATGGTATGAAAGTCATAGATGCTGTTTGATGAATTATGGGAACTTTTGATGTTGATCTAAATATTTTTGAAACCGATTTAATGAATTAAAAAAGAGAGATTTGTAGCCACAATGTGATGATTAGAAGACAAATACAATACGCTCCTTCACCTACCAATTGAGGACAATATTTTTACTTTGTCGAGTATTAAATATTAACTAGTTGGTGGAACCCGCAATTTTTATATGATCTTTTGGCTTTTCTTTTATTTTGTAGTGGTATATTATGTAAATAAAACTCAAAAATAAGTTCACAAGAATAAATGGAAATAGAATGCAAGTAATAATTATCAATGAAATTTTGAAGGAAAAAACTTCCAACAAAAGAAAGATTTTGTTGAATGATGAAATATTGTTTCATCTTGTATTAGCCAAAACGGTTATGAGGAAATATTGTTTCATCTCGTATATAGCTAAACTGAATAAACTACAAAGAAAAGCAAGCCATTATATGTCTTGAGGAAAAAGTAGAACATGATCCCAGCATAAACACATCATACTAAAAAAGAAAGATGAAGAAACCGAGGAAGGTGAAGAACATCATTATGAAAAAGAATTGCAATGCCAAGATGAGAGTGCCAGAGGATAAATTATTGCTTGCATGGAGAAGACCAAACAAATAAGAGGAGATGAAGAAGATAAGCTAAATGAAGCATTGCAAAAAGCAAAAAAAAAAAAAAAAAAAACAGTAGCGATTATGAAATATACAGATGTTTAATAAGTACTTAAATATTATTTTCTAAACAAAGTCAAAGGAAGGAAAACATTAATGGTTATGGAATATATAGACGTTTAAGGAGTTGTTAATTTTTTTTAAGAAAGTTTTTTTATTAAGTATAATAATTTTTTTTGGGTTGGGGGGCGGGAGAAAAGAAGTTATTCCTTAATCATAATAATAAGTGCAATTGATATGCTAATTTCATAATTTTCTAGAATTATTATGAGATAGAAAAGCATTCATTTAAACCAAAAAACTAATCTTTAATATCATTTTGTTCATGTAAACAAATATAGACATCAGTTTTATTAATAAATGCATGAGTAAAAATATAAGACCAAGAAGAGTAGATATATTTAATACATGTAGAAATTCACATATAGATACATATATGTGTACACATAATCCATACAAAAGTATACATGTGATATATGCATATGCATGCTAAACCAAGGTACATGGAGGTTTATATTTCTGCGTGGGCATCAAACATCATAGATGTCACATATGTGTTTGGATTGTAAGTTATTTGTCTAAATATATTTGCTTACATCACTATT